GGAGAATTCCATAATCAGTCCATTAATGGACAGTTCCTAATGGCCTATTGACCTATGGTTTGGGAGGCCGCAGAGCACGAAGAAGGCCACTAAACATAAACGGGGTAACCAACGGCCAACTCAGCCGACAGTGATAACAATATGCATCCTAACAGTAAGCAATTATACAAACATGAAGCAAAAAAAAAAAGACAAAATATTAAAAAAAAAGTTGCAAGTTTTATTCATAAAATCTTTGTACAATTTTAATGGGTACAATTTGTGAACAAAGGTAAAGCAACGTTTGTACGCTGATGTAGCCTCTTCTGAACGATGCAAGTCTCAGTTTGAAGATAACAACTTGAAATTGTGAAGACTAAGAAAGGAGAAGAAAGAAGCTTTGGATCAAGGAGGAAAACTTAAAAAAGGAGTTTGATGATGATTATGCCTTCAATTGTTCACCTCTAGCAAGGTAAGCCTCCCCATCTCTCAACTCCATTTCGAATGGGATGTACATCGCTATCACTTTTCTTATCATAATGATGGGAAGCCAAAAGAGGGAACTCGTGTAGGAGGATCGTCAAATGCACCAAAATCCAAGTGAAGAGCCTGTTTCATTCTCCTCCAGATCAAGTGCAGCCCATCGAGCCATAGTACCACTTGCATATATTTGGTTCCCCCGAAATGATCAAAGGGAGCTAATGCAAGCTGTGCAGTGAGGTACTCGTCATTTATAAAGACGTGAGATATGTTGGTAAAGCCAACTGTTAATGTTAAGAAGAAAGTAAATCCAAAGCAAGAAGGGTCTGATAATCATGAAGGTTATCTCCATCTTCCTCCTCTTTTGGGGGCGAGAGGTTCAAAAAGACTTGCAAAGTATGCTAAACATTGGGAAGACTTGGTTTGTTCAGAAAAATTTAAATCATGGGTTATATAGACCAAGTAATGTTAGAAAGCATTAATGGCTCCAAATTGGAAACTGCCAACATTTATGTTGATTGATGGTGGGAAATGTGAAAAATCATCATTCAAGGAATTAAAGTGGCTAAATTCGTGGACAAAGTTCAAACAACAGACGTGTGATTTGATAGTATTAATCGCCAGTTAAATCGCAATCAAGTCAATAGTCACATGTAGAATGAAAGAGAATATAAAATAAAAGGATAATCAAAGCAAAAAAGATAAAAAAGGGCCAACTTTATTCATTACTTTTCAAGAGGTACAAGATTAGTAAAGTTAGCCTCAATTTGAAATAAAGAGTCATTCATGGCCTAAGTTCAGTCGTGGCAAGGTTGGCTTGCTAAGAGGTATTGTTAATAAAGGCTGCAGTCTCAAGATTATCTTTGAATTCTTTATATCCCTTCGTATCTTGAGCCCTTATCGCAAGCCACATCACAACCATAATAAAGTCCTCTTTGATCTCAAGAAAAGGAATGTATGTTTATGGATATGTATGAATAGAGATGAAATGTGACAATTATGCTACTTTATTTAGACATTGGCATTCCTTTCATGAGACTATGTCAAACTTATCTTTCCTTGGATAGTGGTCACTTGGGATGCATGTGAGTAATATATTATTTTTATTTAATAAACTCACCTCACAAGTGCTCAAATTTGTAAATAGTCACCATAATCTGAGTGAGTCCCTTGATGAGAAAACTATCTGGCGAGGATTGCATCAAAGCTAGCAGTTGATGGTTGTATGAGTGAGGAATTGCCAAGTGTTTTTCTGGCTATGCATAGGTGACTCACACTATACACGAGTTTCTCGTGAGAACATAATGTTTGATTCTTTGGTATAGCATTTATTTCTCTGTTTTATTTTGCATGTGCTTATAAAAGCTTGCAAGTGAAAGTTTTCAAGTTTTGATGGTGATTTATGATATAATTAAATGATTCGAATATTTGATAACAGGTTGATATTTATGGGTATCATCTCTGAAAACTTTCACGAGACTATAATTTGCCCACTAGAGATAACCTAAGTGTTTGAAGTCTTGTTGCATATTTTAAATACAATTGTATTACCTACGAAAGTAAATTTGTATTTTGTATGTCAGTCTTACTTGGGACTAGCAAGAGTGTGGTGGAGGGGTGATTAGCCTTGAAATATGACTAATTATTATCATTAATGATTAGCTAATTACATTAGATGGGGATTAAATATGTTTGAATGATGAGTTTCGGATTTTATGTCTATTTTTCTAGTGTTTATGTGTTTTTCAGGTAAATTGACCTATATGCGGAGTGGACGAAGCCTGAGGCCTTATCTTTCCGAACGTCAGAGGCGTGTGAACGTGATTATAACTGTCCGAACGGAGAGAAACTTCTGGTTGATGAAGAAAAACCGAAAATTCAAAGAGATTGGTGCGCCCAGACGGATGAAACAAGTATCTAGACACGACTGGCGTAGAAGAGCAAATTTGATGCTTGCGTCCAAAAGCGCAATTTATGCGTCCGGACGAGAAATTCTTTTTGGCAGTCTTTTAGCCTTCGACTTTTATTAGGTTTAGACTTCCTAATTTTCATATAATAATAAAGCTACAGGTGATTCTTTTAATAAAATAAAGTATTTATTTTTGATCCATTGTTCTTTAATGTATAATCTTTCTTATTAATTGATTCTAATATTTTAATAAGTTTTTACTCTATAAAATTAATTAATTTGTTGTACCACATACATCGAATATTTTAAATTTCATGCGAATCAAATAACTAATTTTATGTCTCAATCAATCAATTAAGATTTTCATAAAAATAATTAGTTTCTTGTTTTTTGAAAAAAAAAAAAAAAGAAAGTTTTAATTGTTCAAAAACTTGATTTATCGTTGACCCCACACACAATGAATGTTTATGATCTACAATTAAATACTTATTTTTATTCAGATAATTTATTGATCATACTTATGCATTTATTTATGTTATAATCACCAATAAATTTTTCAATTAAAATCACTGCTCAATTAATTCTTAATTTAAGTGGAAGTGTTATAGTGTTCTCTGGTCAAAAAAACTAATTCTTAATTGAATTCAAAAAATTGGATCAAAATAAATACTTTGTGAATTTGAAAGAGGATCACTAATGCTTTAGTATGTCTCAACTATTGTTTTAAACCAAAGGTTACTATTTTCTCCAATAACCAATTTTCTCAAACATTTTCAAAGCAATTCTTTTTTTTTTTTTAAATTCTATTGTGTGTCAAGTTTTTACCAAATCTCTATGGTACGACCTCGGACTTTCAAGTGTATTGTTTTGCGACAACCTACACTTGGATATTGCATTACCAAAGCTATAGCAACAATCTCTATGTAGTGAAAATAGAAGGGATTAAATTAATATTTATAGACGAAACATCTTATTAAAATAAAAACTACTATCTTGATAAAATTCTAAAATAATTTCATAACCAAATTTTCAAATTATTCTACTACTAAAATTCTGTAATATTTAATTAATCAAATTCCAAAAAAGTTTTCTAATCAAACTCTTAACATTTAAAGTACTAAAACAATTCTAATCAAACAAATATTCCTTAACGAGAAAAATTAAAAAAAAGTACACCAAATTAGACTTAATTATAAAAAAGTACATAGAAAAAAAATGTTAGATAATTAAGTCCTTAATTTTGATATTTATTTGTATCTAAGTACATTATTTGAATTTTATTAATTTTTTTGTGATATTTTTGCCCTCCATTAATCTATATGTATTTAATACACCACTTTTCTTTGAAAAGTGGTGCATTAAACATCTCCTAATTTTATGAGAGAACTTTAATACACACACACACACACACACACAAATATATATATATACTTATGTATGTAGGTATGTACTTATTTTTAAATTAATTTAATATCTGAATAGTGTAATAGTACAACAATAATAGTATAACAATAAAATAATATAACAGTGTAACAATAACAATATAATAATAAAAGTATAACAGTGTAACACTAACAGTATAACAATAACAATTTAACAAACTATTTACACAAAATATTGTACTATTACATTTTGTCAAACATATAGTTTCATAAAATTTCATTTAAAATAATTCATCTCCGTTTTAAATTTATTACCACATACACAAAACTACTGAACACTGTTTTTGTTACAGTGTATTTCTTACAGTCTTTGTTACAGTGTATTTGTTACACAGTTATAGTTACACTATTACATTATTCGGATATTAAATTAATTTAAAAATAAAACCATTTTCCAAAAAAAAAATGCTTGAATCAAAGTATATTAAATATAATTTGAAAATAAAATTACTTTCCAAAAAAAAAATACGCGTGAATCAAAATGTATTAAAGATAATTCAAAATTTAGATAAGAGATTTAACAAGTATATATATATATATATATATATTAGTCATAACCCGTGCCTGAAGGTACGACAAAATATAAATTTCGAGCTTTCAAAAAATCAATCTTACTATATTAAATTTTTTCAAAATATATTAACTACAAATTAATCAAATATAAAATGATTAAATATATAATAGAAATGAATTATGTGATATTTTTAGGGAGAAAATATATAAATAATTAAATATGTGATAGAAATGAATAATACGATTTGACGTTTAAGTTTGACAAATGGATGATAGATGAGGTAAGTGATTGATGATGATTTTGAGAGAAAAAATATGATTGGAATAAAATTCAAACACACTCCTATTTTATTATATAGATATATATATTAACAAATACACATGAATCAAGGTACATTAAATACATATTTATATGTATTAACAAACAAACATAAATCAAAATGCATTAAAGATAAAAAATTTTGAATTAAATGACCCTAAAATGAGCATTTGTCTTTGTAAATCAGTTGTGTACTTTTTTCCAAAACATTTTGTTCTGTATACTTTTTGTCAAATAAGTCTAATTAAGTGTACCGGCTTCCAAAGAACTCATTCCTTAACATAATAATACTAAAATCCAACTCTTCAATTAAAGCTCATCTAATCTCTTTTTGATTTCTATCACCTAGTCAAGATCAGCTTAAGGGGGAATATATCGTATGATTCTTATGTACCCTCCCTCCTCACCAATAAAAGGGTATTTGCTAGAATATATATATATATATATCCTGATTGCTAGGTCACTTCCCATAAACTCTACCCACATTTAAGAACAATTCGTGTGAAAACAGAAACTTGACCTGAGTTTCTCTATCCATCTTATGCACACAACATAAATAAAGGAATTGCCCTGCTGTTGCTCTGTCTCATAAGACTGACAAATAACCGCATGCTATAATAGCCAAACAAGCAGCATCAGTAAGAGATTACAAACTAGATTGTTATGTTTTGTCCTTCAAAACATAGAGGCAGTAAGTTCAGACACCTCAGTTACAACCTGATCATAATCTGCCTTCAGTTTTTCTTGTTCCTCCTGACCAAGCTCCCCCTTGGTAGGCTTGGTTAGCACCAGAACACAGCACGTTGGCCTCTTGGTGGCTCCAGCATTTGCAAGATCCTGAAACAAGCAGTTTATCATGTTTTCAACACCAGCATTTACAAGTGTTGCACCAATATCCCAACTGTTTACTTTCATTATATAAGTGCACACATTTTCTTCTTATTAGCTACTTAAACTCACACACTAGCGCAACTATACACATTGCAAGAAGGCAAATAGATAAAATTGCCAAGAGAGGGAAATCAGAACAGGGTTTCATTGGGAGAAAAAAAAATTGAATAAACAGCCCAGGGAGTTTGAATTTAAGTGATAACTTCACTATATGAAAATTGGGAAAAAATAAATGTGAGGATCTGGACGAATCATGTGTAAGCTACAACTCATCTATGGGGCCAATAAGGGAAAAAAATTAACTATTTTAACCAAAAACTTAACGAAGGGAGAACACAAATTAGTAATAAAAAAGGGACGAACTTGGTCAAAACATAAACAGTATGTCATTACAAAAATAAGCCTAAGCTTTAGCAAAAGCCTTTTTCAGATCCTGGACAAGTTTAAAACAAGTTCTGAATTATGAATCTTCAAATCCTGATAGACGTAAAACATTAGCAATTGAAACTTATGCAAAATTCCAAAACCAAGCCCTCAGAGATAGATACAGCTTGGCTTTGATAGGAAGAAAAGAAATTAGTTTTCCTGCAAACACACAGCTTTCTGCATATAACTGTATTAAGTCACAAAATCTTAAGGAATAATAGCACTTTAAGATCAAAAAAATGAAAGTACAGAGAAAACAATCATCACTAGATACAAGATCATAGAGAGGAAATGAACATCAATTGACCTGATACACCGAAAAACACCTAAAGATTATTGCAAACATGCAGGCAGCAGGTCAACATACCACTTGCAAATAAGGTGAAAAATATAAGGCAAAACAACTTTCTTCCTGTGGATGTCCACCCTTAACCTTATTATCTCAATTTCAATAAATATAAACAAGAAATAAAACAAAACGAACTGCCAGAAAATGGTAGGAGAAGTCCAGGAAAATTTAAACAATTAGAAATTCTTATATGCAAATATTAGAGAAACAAACAAATGCAAAATATCAAAAGAATAGGAAAAGGAAACCAACTTACTTCTTTCGAGGGAACATATATGTAGGGTATGTCAGACTCTTCACACAAGATGGGAACATGAGTTATGACATCAATAGGAGATATATTTCCCGCTATTACACATAATCTGCATTTCAATAAAAAGAATGTCAATTCTTAGAGAATTCCTATTAAACCTCTACATAACTAAGAGAAATTTGATGGCACCATCTCCACTATAAAGTTAATCAAATAAGAATTGGACAGATAACTGAATCGAAATCAGACCAAAAATCAATTACTAAAGCACAAGCACAGAAAAAATGGACAGAAATATGCAGAAATGAAGTCAATGGAAAATTCTATTTGGACCTAATTTCTAATTCAATGCAACCATTGAGTTAGAAGTGTATTCTATCTAACATTGGAACTCACAACTAATCTAATAATTATATTGGATTGAGTCCCTGATTAAGTCCTCAAATTAGGTGTTACAGCACTGCTCGAAGTCAATACACAAAACTATCCAACATCAACAAATCATAAAAAAAGGGAATACTGAGAAAAAAATATTAATTCATATATCTTCAAACCAACATTAACAGCCAGTAAAACCAAGAAGATACTGTAAGAATCAATACCAAACCAAGCATTGTCGGAGTCAATACAGTTTGCCAAGTAATTAAACAAATCAACAAGTGGATTTATAAGAACTTAAAATCTACATAGCGAAGTATAACATTTACAAATTGGACCGGAAAATATCATTGGGAAAAATCTACTGACCCTTTGCTACCGCGCCGGATACTTTTAACCACCTCCTTAACTCCTCTCTTCAGGCATTTGTGCTCCGCACCTAAAACAAGAACAGCCAGTCAAAATAATCACAGAAAATCAGAAAAAAAATAATAACAAAGACACATCCACGAAGACAAAAGAATGAATACCTCGGCGGACGAGTTTGAGGGTACGCTTGCAGAGCTTCTTGCCAGCAAGGGGTTTGGCGATTGGGGCTAAAGCTAATAACTTCTTCTTCTCTTTCTCCTTCTGGGCCGTCTTCTCCGCTTCGCTGTCGCTTACCATCTCTTTTCCCAGGTAGCAAAAGCAGAAAGTGGTTTATGCGATGGCGGAGACTAGTGCTTTACTGCTGGGGTCGCTTACTAGGGTTTTAGGTAAGAGCGACTGAGACCGGGTAAGTATATCAACCACCCAATTTTAAATATGGGCAATGCAGCGCGAATTTAAAAAATAGATTTGATAATCTTAATTATTAATTTTACTGTAAGTTCTAGTATTTATTGGGATCTAGTACCTATTTAATAGTTGAGATTATCAATCTAATTTTTAAGTTTAATTTTTAAATCTATATAGCATTATTCTTTAAATAGTTAATTAAAATATATTTAAATATTAAATTCTTCCCTTTAATTAGTTATTTTTTAAAATTTATTTCTACCACGTTCTTTATTTTAGTTAACTATTTTAACTAACTTTAACTAATTTTTAATAATAAAATTTAAAAAATAAAGCTACAAAAAGAAAGCAACAAATCACAGCCTCAAAATTCACTCTCGACATCAAGAATTCAACAACCCAGATTACAAAACATAAATTCATCAATCACAAAATGAATATCTTTAACAAACAAAAAATAATAAATCCCATCATTGAATACTATAATTTCATAGAAAGTGACGAACCCAAAATCAACTAGGTCAAACCCTAAAAAAAAAAAAAAAAAAAAAACCAAGAGGAGCCCAAATCATCAGTATCTAGAAAAGAGACCAAGGCCCAATGCACCAAAACGGATCCAAGTCACCGAGGCCCAAAGGACACACCAAAGGGGACACCGCCCAAGGGCTGGGCTCCCCTGACTCCTCTTCGTCCTCCTCACTTTGCCACTCCAACTCAATCTGGCCCAGCTCAGGATCCTCCTTCCGAAGGAATAGGAACACGTGACAAGATTATTGGGATACACATCATGGAGATCTAATCCTACCGTAACTGTACTTACCAAAAAGTAGTGACCGTCTCACCTCACCTCCTCACTAAACTTATATAATGTAAACTCTCTCCACATAGAAGGCATGACCTTATGACTTGGAGACCGTAAAACACCTCTACATCTCATACACCTCTCTACACACACCAAGTTCCTCTCTCCCAAAAGAATTGTAATTCCCCCGGAGTATACTCTCCTAGTTACAATATTCATCAATAAAGATCTCTGAACATTGTTGCCGTTCTCGAGAGTGAAATAGGTTATTTGAATCGAACCACTATATATCTTTGTGTTAAATCTTTATTTACTGTTTTGTCATCGATTGCTTATTTATTGCTCATTAATTTCACCCTTACAATTACTTAATTGTTGATCTTGCGCAATACCAATTTATGCATCATCAGTTTGGCACCGTTTGTGGGATCCAACTAGTTTTTCTACTCTGTTTCAATCTATTGCAATCACGACCAGATCATTGAGTCAACAAGCGAGAGACAACAACCCAGCCTATCGGGAGCAGGTTCCACCTTCCCTTGCACCCTTAGAACCGTCAGCTACGACGACCCCTATTGTCGGGTAACAGATCTTACAGACCATGCAACTTCTGGTAAACCAAAACCAGCAAATCATTCAGTTGATGCTTGGTTAAGGAGGCGTCGCCCCTCATCCTGTAGGAGGAGCCCCACTCCCTCCAACAGGAGAGGAGCAATAACTCATCCCTTCTAGGCGCCAGATAGCCCCTCACCATGGGGCCCCTCGCCAGAACGCCCTAGGGCCACGCTAGGGTGCCCCTCGCCCAACAGTCCCTCTTTAGCACTAGGAGCTCACGTGTTCCCCTCCACACTTATCTGCGCAAAAGGACAAAGGAGAGAGCCAATATGGTGATCATGAAAGTCAGTACCACCACTCAACTGAGGATGTCCCCAACCACTGAGACGAGAAATTAGAGAGGTGTAACTCGGCAACTCAAATCAAGACACAAGCGCTCAAAACGGTGGACTACCTGGTAAGACGTATTGATACACCTTTTATTGTTGATATAGTCAATTATTCCTTACCCTCAAAGTTCAAGATGCCTACCATCGAGATCTTTGACGGCACCAAAAACCCCCCTTGACCACCTTGACACATACAAATCTCTCATGCAACTCCACAACGTGTCTGAAAAGATTATGTGTAGAGTCTTTGATGAGCACATAATATTGCATATTTGATGGTCTCATTACATGCATTTTAACTTAACTTTGCATTTAATTACTTAGAGTTAGTCAAGTTTATGAATAATGTTGAAATCTTGTGGTAGCAGGTAATTATAACTTAAATGATGGATTTTAGAACCTTGCAACTAAATGTGGATGTGTGGTGAAGACATGGACACATTACTTAAGGATTTGGAGGCTTAAAAGTGAAAGAAATTAATGAGGTATCGGTGCTTGGTAACATAGGCACCAGCACCCGCACTCGCACCATTTGGTTGCAGTATCTCAGTTTTCCTTCTTTTTGACCATGATCCACTTCGAATTTGAAGAAGTTCAAAACAAGAAAGTTGTAGATCTGGATGTCCTCTGTATTCTATCAAAATTTCAGCTCAATTAGATTGTTGGATCAAAAGTTATGACAATTCTACGAAAACTAGTCCAAAGTAGGCAACCTACCGATAGGACTAACTCCAATAGCCAAAACCTGCAGGTAGAATGCTAAAAATCTACCAGTAGGTTTAGCCCAGAACGCCTGCAACTCTTGCTTGGGGGTCCCACCATTGATTCTGTCACTTGTCCCTTAACATCCCTTATACATTTGCATGCCTCATGCACCCTAGTTGAAGACTTTGGAGGCAATGGTATTAATGGGGATGGGAGAGAAGGGGGCAGCCATAAAGGGTGCAGGCTAAGCTTGTCCTAGCCTGTCCAAAGCCATCCACTCACCTCCTATTAATGGGAGGCCTGCACACACATACTAGAGGACCCTATGGACGAAAATTCTAGGCTTCTTCACCATATATTCAGCATTCCACAAGATTTTGAGGGTGGCTACCTAAGATTAGGAGTAGTCCAAGAAAGAAGATGATGAATAGTAGATAGAAAAGCTTAGATTTTTGCATTTATTCTCCATTTTCAGTTGTAGTAAGCTTTAAATCTCTTATAATCCTTAACTCTTGCACTTTAATCTCATTTATTTCAAGTATATTCCAAGTTTAGTTACATGTTCTAGTTTCTACAATTAAAGCTTTCAAGTTCTTCATTTTCAAACTTTAAAATGGGTATTGCATATTTTCCTTCATAGTTTATAATTTATTGCATTGAGTTAAGTTTTAATCTCCATTTCAATACCATGTCTCTTTACATCATGTATGTCCTTCCCTTTAGCATGAGTAGCTAGATTTTAAGTTGGCTAATTCAAGGGAGAACTCTTCTTGAGTATGCCAAATCAACTCATTTTCTTTTCTCCTCTCAGAGTACGATAGTTCGGTTTGACTGGGTTGAGAACGGATGCGGTTGTGAATCTTTGATATCTCGTAGGCTTGGTCACGGGTTATGCTTGGAGGGATCTACTCACCAATGGTAAGCAAAGATTAAGCCCTCCTCCATCCACTTCTTTACGGAACTAAGTAGATCCTTTATCTCCCACTTCATTGGGGGACACTGACATTAGAAACCAATGACCCACTTGCTCACCATCAAGCAGGACAGGGATGAAAGCCTTAGAGACTACCTCGCTCGTTTCAATGAGGAGGCTCACCAGATTAAGGAGTCAGATGATAAGTTAGTCTTGGCCACCTTTATCGCTGGTCTTCACTCCTACAGTTTTATGTTCTATGTCCTCAAGAAGCCGCTTTTCAGCATGTCTAAGATGTTGTCTAGGGCACAGAAATACATGAACGCCAAGGATGTCACCAAAGCCCGTAAAGGTGAGTCCTCCCAAGGAGGAGAGAAAAAGGAAGAACACTCACGAAGACAAGAGGGAGACAGAGAACAAAAGAAATAAGATAGAGAGAATCTCTATCAAGGACCGCCTTGGTCCCCCACCTTTGAGAGAACGACAAACCTTCACGCCACTCAATATTTTCGTTTAGCATATCTTGCTCCAAATACATGATGATCCTATAGTACGTTGGCCAGAAAAGATAAAGACTACCCCAAACCATAGGAGCCCAAACAAGTACTGCCATTTCCATTGTGATCACAGCTATGACACTGATAACTGCTTTGATCTCAAAAGGCAGATCGAAAAATTCATACAACGTGGCCAGTTGAGGTAATACGTTGCTGGTAGAGGACAAGCCCCGCCACCTGGCCAGGACCAAGATGACAGAGAACGCTAGCAACCCCTCGAAGAATTTTAGACGATCTCCTGAGGGCCAAGAGGAGGAGGTGACTCAAACTCCATGAGAAAAGTCTTGGCCCACCTATGGGACATCGAACACCTAAAAATTTTATCTATCCTTTATTGTTTTAGTGATCTTGTTATTTATTATTTTATGAAATAAATTCTACGAAGATTGTTGTGTCCTAATTGTCTTGTTTTCCTAAAATTTATAAACAGTTTACAAAAGTTAGAACATGACATAACAACAAGGTGTAGACAAAAAGACAACAGTTGTCATACTTCAGTCATTGCTCCGTGAGCCACAACCACTATAATCAAGGCTCTCCCCATCACCAACTATTATTGGTGCCTCATAGGGGACGAAGCCAGAGAAATCAACAGTGGCCCTCTTAGCAAGTACCCAACACCAGGCGCTAAGTAGGCTCCCAACACCAAGCTCCTAGCCTTAGACGCCCAGCACCAGGCGCCAGGTGCCCAACGCCCACCATCAGGCACCCCGTCTCAGGAGCTCAGCCTCAAGTGCTCAGCACTAGGCTCCTAGCTCCTTAGCTCCATCTGCATCTTCGTCTCAAACGAAATGAGTCTCTGCCATGACAGCCATCTCCCGAAGTTATACATAACTCGACCTTAGCTCTTGCGGCCCTCTCGCGAGATGTTTGCGGCTATGACTCTACTCTTGCGCAAGTAGTCACCTAGTAAGCCTCTGCCACAGTAGCCATCTTTCGAGACTATTCGTAGCTCGGTCTTAGTTCTTGTGGCCCTCTCACGAAACATTTGCAGCTATGACTCTGCTCGCACGCAAGTAGTCACCTAGTAAGCTTCTGCCACGACTACCATCTCCTAAAGCT